GGTGGAAAAAAATTATGAGTTTTTTAAATTTTTGAGCGAAGTCCTGATTGTTTTTGAAGATTCTTAAGTTGAGATAGTTCTCAGTAAGGGTATTTTTTATTTAAATGGTTGTTGTGTAAGATATGTAATAAGTATTTCAGTTCCAACCCAAGCTCCTAAGAACTTGAAAGTTCGTGTATTGAATTCAACTGCAGTTGACGTGTCTTTTACTTCTCCTGACCCTCAAATGGTGCCTGGATTTAACCTGGGTTATAAGGTGAAATCTTCGGAGTTTGGAATCAACGTTGTATTAATTATTAACTGTAAAATTTCATACCAGTTACTCTCCAGTATTCGTTGTTTTGATTTTATTGCTGAAGCGGACGGCTGTGAAGAGATAGTGCCAGCTGAAATTCGACGGTCTAAACATTAAGTGTTGAAACTGGCACAGGGGCCATCTGAGTCGTTCAGTTCTTTTAAGTCAATGTTTGTTAGGATATGTCTAGCAATGCGTACAGGTTTAAAATGAGCTTTCCATCTTGCGTTAGAAATTTTTTTATCTATTTCGACTTAAAAGTGAATTTTTAATATTTTCAAAATTGTATTTTTGCTTATATTTCGACTGAATCGCATACTATAAATGCTTTTTTGGTACAGGTATGGGTATTTTTAGCAATTTTAATGAATTTGCTTTATTCGGAAATGTTTATTTTATTTTTTGGCGAAGGGGATGATGGTTTATATGTCCATTCTAGATCGAGTTTTGGAAAGGTTCTGTAGCCGCGGGTCATTTGTTTCGCCAGATCAGGGTTCCTCCGGACGAGACTAATATCTCTGAAACTGTTGGTGATTTGGAGAAATTCGGGCATTACAACGTTACTGTTCTTTGTTACACTACACCTGGTGATGGTCCGAGGAGCGAACCAAAAGAAGTTATTACAATGGAAGATTGTAAGGCCTTTCTGCTTAAGTTTCTTCTTTTGATGTCATGGCCTTAAGATGACTTTTGGCGTCAGTCATGCTTTAAACTTCAATTTTAAGTGTCATGGATACCTTTTTAGTGCCAAATGCGGTTGAATTCCTACGTTTTGATAATGTCTTGTTTAATTCAGTCGATGTTTTGTGGGATCCTCCAGCAGAGCCAAATGGAATCATTCAAAGTTTCTATTTTGCTTCTTTAAACTTCTCACGAGTGTTTATTTTTTGCATTTTTTCTTGCTTTTTTTTTTTTTCAGTTATACATTTTGTTGTTCTAATCCTTTTTCATTTCCTTGAAAAAAGATTTTAAATTTTTCATGGAAGGCTCTTAGAACATTTAAGGTTTGGGAAATTCATCTAAATTTTAACTTGGCATTGAAATTTACCATTGCATAATATGTTAACATTTAGGATACATTATTCGATATTGGGATAGTGAAAATGTGAAAAGTGCTCAGGTACGTGAAGTTGATTCTACTGCGAACAATATTACGATTGATGAGCTGAGCCCCTCCACACATTATACCGTTGAGCTTCAACCGTTTACGTCTGTTGGTGGAGGTCCAAAAGTCGAGGCAACTTTTGAGTCTGGTGTGCCACCAGGTAGATACTTAAGTAATTCCAGGATTTGTTAGCTTCTTCAGTATATTGGCTATTCATTATTTGTAGAGCTTCCTGGACGGCCTTCTTCGTTGGAAGTGCTTGAAATTGGTTCGAAAAATGTTATTTTACGGTTTTTGCCGGGGTTTGATGGTCATACTGTGATTCGCAAATGGATAGTTGAGGGAAAGACCTATTTATCATCCGCTTTCTATCCAGTTTTTGAGATCAAGCAAGTTTTTAATTGGTTATGGGCAGGTTCTAAAATTCTTCTTCATTGGAAGTAAATTTTTAGAGCTTCAAAAGCCCGATCTATCCTCGTTCAAAATCTGAGACCATTTACAAAATATCAGTTGCGATTGATTGCCGAAAATGTGCGCGGTAAAAGTGCTCCGTCAGATGCTACTGAGGAGTTCATGACTCTTCAAGCGGAACCAGAGGTGGCTCCTGATATTCTCTTTACAAAACCCATTAGTGCGACCTCAGCATCGGTCGTATGGAGTCCTTTACGGTCGGTTCAGTGGAATGGTCACCCTAAAGGATATCTTATCTTGTACCGGAGAGAGGACAAGGGTCAAAGTTCTTCATGGGTGGGCAATTGAATGTCTTTTTTTCAATGGTCTTCGTTAGGTTTTTTATGCGGGAGTGTGAAACAAAGAGTTTTAGAGGGAAATTCGTGTCGCAAACAGCAGAGCCGGTGACTTTGTTCTTACTGATTTGCGTCCGTACACACTTTACGAAGTTGAAGTTCGTGCTGAAAATTCTGTTGGAAGGAGTAGACGTTCTAAATCCGTAGCAGTAAAAACGTATGAAGATGTTCCCTCTGCTCCTCCTCCTGATGTGGAATTGGTTATAAATGATCTTGAAGTGGCTGTAGTTTTTTGGAAACCGATTGAAAGTAGTTCTGCTAACGGAGTTGTTATTGGTTACAAAGTACGTTTACAGGGTTCTATCTTTCAAGTGACAAAGTTTTATCGTTTTTATAGTTTTTGCTGTAATAAAGTATTTCAGATACGTTTAGTTCCAGAAGAAGAACGTTATCGTTCTGAATTCTCGAGATTTGCAGAAGTTGATGCACTGAGTTTAAAAACTAGTTTTTATCATTTGCATCCGTTTATGCGGTATAGGGCTTTTGTCAGTGCTTTTACTGTTGTTGGTTCCGGGCCGGAAAACTCCTCTGCTTTTGTAACAACTGAAGAAGATTGTAAGACTCGCCTTTTAGATCTTTATAATTTTTATTAAAGAAATAAAAGTAATGGGTGCATTTTTAGTTCACCATAGTCCTTTCCTGCACCGTAAAGATGATGCATTTTTAGGTCCAGGCGAACCTTACATTGTTGCGTTTTCTCACGTTAGTGAAACAGAAGTGAGACTTAAGTGGAACCCTCCTCTAGACCCGCCAAACGGTGTAATTCTACATTATGAAATAATGTACTGGAAGGTTCGTTTTTCGTTGCCTATTCGGGATTCTTTTCTAGGTAGAGAAAATATTTAAGTCCCAATTTTTAAACCTCATTGAATTCAAACCATAAGCATCGTTTTTCCGAAGTCGTTATGCTATGCGTGTTTAGCACGGCAACGAAAAGGATGCGACTAAAATCAAGTTAATATCAAATGTTTATGGTCATTCCGCTACTGGTCTTCAAAGGGACGCTCATTATAAATTCGCAGTTTCTGCTGAAACCTCAGTTGGATGGGGTCCTAAAGCAGTTGTTAGCGTGTTAACCACAAATGATCCTGGTATGCATTGTTAAAGCTTGAGTCCGACCAATTCATCTTAAGACACTTCACATTTTAGCGCCTACTCCCTTACCTGCGATACCTGGAAGAAACGATGCAAAGGCTCAATCGGCAACAGAAATTCATCTGAAATGGAAAATACCAATTACATATGTTGAGGATCCAGAGTTAAACCTTATTCGTTTTACGGAGCTAGAGTATAGAGCTTATGGCTCGGAGTGGCAACGTGTTCCATTTCCCGTATCAGGAACCCAAAACGAAACTTCGATTACGGGGTACAGTATTCTTTATTTTTCCTCTGACTTTTGTGTTTTGTAAAAATCTATACAGACTTTTATTTTACGACATCTTCTAGTTTGAAACCGAATACAAATTACCAAGTCCGCATTCGATTTAACAACGACTTTGGGCAAAGCCCTTGGTCAGTTGAGTCGTCATGGATCAAAACGCTTGAAGATATTCCGTCTGCTTCTCCTGTGCTACTGGAGGCATCACCGTACGAATCTGCTTCTATCATGCTACTGTGGCATCCGCCATTAAAAGAACAGTGGAATTCTGATGTTATTAGATTTCGAGTTCTGTATCGTGATTATTTTTCAAATAGTAGCGAAATTACTGAGGAAGTTGAGGCGAATAATGAGCCAGATTCAGAAGTGCATTACATTGTCAGAAATTTGAAAAGGTTAGATAATATTCTTTGCTTATTGTTTTATTTTACTCTATTTTACTGTATTTTTTTGAATTTTTTGTCTCTTTGGTTTGTACTTCATTTGGCTTCAGTTTCCGACATTATATGGTTCAAGTGCAGACTGTCAATGATATTGGAAGTAGTTCATACTCTTCACCTGCATTCGTTTATGTCGGCTACGTAATACCGAAGCAGAAGGTTAAAGGACTTGTTGCTGAACCACTTTCTTCATCTTCGGTCTCTGTAAAGTGGGATCTGTCAGATGATATCTTGGATGTTATTTCTGGTTTTAAAGTTAGATACGTTCCTGTTTTACCGGTTCTTTCAAGCAATGGCGTTTTTGAAGAAATGGTTGTGGCCGAAAATACTTCTGTCGTTTTAACGGAGCTCAGAAAGTTTACTGAGTATCAGGTACATTTGATTTCTTAAACTTGCTTTTGAGTACGCTCGCCGAGACTGTTTTTTTTTTTGGTTTGCTTAAAATTTATGGTTTAGTTACAGTATAATTTCCAGCTATCCGTCTCTTCATACAATCCCGCTGGGGAAAGCGAATTAACGAAAGTGCGTGTCACAACTTTGGAGGATCGTCCAGGACCGGTTTCTGGGCTTATTTTTTCGGATATTTTGTTGGATTCAGTCAATGTTTCGTGGGCACCTCCAAATGAACCTAATGGAAAGATTATTGGCTATTTAATTAATTACAGGACTAACAAGCTTAAGGTATTTTTAGTTGGAGCGTTGTTGGACTTATAGTGAAGCTTCAGTGCTAGGAAATGTTCATTGAGGGGAAATCGCTTATTTTTGTCATGGCTGTCTAGGGTTTTTTGGTTTCTCTTGCTAGTTTGTTTCTTGATCATTTTTATTTTAGGGTGGGTTTAAAAAGGAAATTCAAGAGAAGACTTCTTTAAGCCATCATGTTGTCACCGGTCTTGAACCAAATATCACTTATTTCTTTTCTCTTCGTGCGGAGACATCTGCTGGATATGGGAACGAAGTTGTTGGCAACGTCTCGATTGCACCCGTGCAAGGTTTACAGCGACTTATCTTCATTAATTTTTAGCTTATATTTTGCTTGTAATATAAAAGCTAAAATTTTTTTGGTTTTAGAAAGACTTGCACTTCACCGTTACAAATTTATTTAAGGATGTCCGGAAGCTCCTTCAAAGCCTCGCTTATTGCCGGGACAGATGTCTGTAGCATTGGAGTGGCAGGATGGTACTTACGGAGACACTCCAATCAAAGGACATATAATTCAAGCAAAACGGATTGCTCGTTCCAAAGTATGTTTTAGACGAAATTAATTCAATTAGTGGTTGACAATTTCCGTCGTTAAATTTGTTGCTCGTTCTAAGTTTATTTCATTGTATGCTTTTACTTCACTATATTGAACACACATTCTTTGGTTTATTTTGGGACACGTTGCAACCGCTGCATACCGGTTCAAAAAATGAAGCCTATGGAAATAATCATCACTCAAGTAAACCTCAACACGTAATTGGCGAATGGATTACTCTTTCTAATATCCAAGGCAAGCAGGGTCACTATGAAGTTGGTTACCGTTATCTAGAGGCTTCATCATTCTATGTTTTTCGGGTTTTTGCCTGTAACTCTCGTGGAGCCAGTTTTGGTAGCCCTGAGTCAGATCAACTTCATGTTCCTGGTAATAAAAATTTTATTTAATTTTTATATATTGTTTATGTATTTTTAGTGCGATTAGTTACCACCCATCTGGACTATGGACCGTTGCTTTTCTCACATATTTATTTTTGCATGATGCTGAATGTGTTTGAAATGCTTGTTTGAGTACGGAATTTTGATTTCTCTCATATTCCAGCTTTTTTACCCGAGGATCCTTTTTACACGAAATGGTGGTTTATTGTAATGGTTGCTCTAGTTATATTTGTCGTGATTGTTATTGTTGTGGCTTTCTTGTGTGTTACTGGTAGTCGGTATAAGTACGCAAAACGGAATTCTGCAGATTCTCTGCAACTTGCAGATGGTGATATCGTAAGTTATGAACTAAGAGCATCGAAGCGTCGAAATCTGCCTCATCTAAGGTTTGTGCTCAAAAGAGAGGGAATGAAAGTATTCATTGCCTGTATTTTTGGTTAGAATTTTTCGTTGTACGCGTACCGGTGTTAATTGAAGTTCTTATCGTCTGAGCTAGATAACAGACTTCTTCAGGCGCGATACTCCGATCAGACCAAACACAAACACTTCTTGGATTTCTGACTCAAGAGATCTACCTGCATATGGCAGTATTGCAGACGTATCGCCTCCAAACAACATGTACGGTTCGTTGACTACTGATGTTACTCCCGAAAGGCGGACTTCGGCGCTACTCAACATGGGTTTTGGCCGGCTTTACACTAGTGGACCATACGGAAACAGTGAACCTATGTTAGAGCAGCATTCGTTGGATGTTGATCTACCGGGAGATCTTAGGGAGAACAACAGTGGAGAACCAAATATTGGTAGATTAAATTCATTAGTGTTTAGTAGCTTCTGTTTCATCTTCAGTCAATTCTTTTGTAAATCAAAAAGTTTCAAAGTGGTTTTGCTGCACAGTGCGTAGCTTACAAGGCGCATCAATGAATGGATTAATAAGACAGAATCTCGTTTACAGTTATTTAATGGTAAAATTGCTGATTAATACAGCGTATACATGATGATGTTTCTAGAAATAATTGATTGTAGTATTGCAGTCAATTTTTTCTAACTCTTGTTCTGATTTTTTCCTTGTGGGATCATTTGTTTTTCTTGCTTTCTCCGTCATCCGCAGCAGTTAAAGTAGATTTCATTGTAACTGTTTAAAAATTATTTTTTACTCACTTGAAGAACAGAAACAAAAGCTTTAATTGTTAATACACTGCCGTGAGGAACAGAAAAGCTTGTCAAGTACAGTTTAATTATGGATATTTATTTGATGGGCAGTGCAGTTTTTGAAGTAAGAGCCTAACTCGCTAGTTGGGAATGATTTTTCAGATGCGTTTTTTTTTTTGTGCACATTCGTTTTTTCTCTTTGCTTAAGGTTTCTGTTTGTTATAGGATCGCTTTTCGTTTTGCTTTCCTTTTACCAATGGAATTTTAGACAACCTACTCAACAAAGTGCCTTGCGAAGTATGCTTTGCGCGGAAAAACTACGTGTAGTGGTACCATATTTTCCAGAGGCTGGCAGTTGTTTAACCGATGCAAATGAACATTTGTATTTTTCACAAAGAGATTCCTTGTTGTTCCTAACCCGTAGAGTAGTTTGAGAATTTAGTTTTTTAAACCAAGAGAACGTAGGTCTACTGAGTCTTTATCACTTCAAATGCCTTTGGGTTCCGGACAACCTTCCGGTATTAAAATTCCTGTTTAAACAGTGCGGTAGGTGAAAAAACGTTGAGGGAAATTAGCCTTCAAAACATCTGCTCAAGTTCTTTTATTTATAATGGAAATAGAAGTTTGCTTGTTTGCAGTAAACTACTTAAGTGATAAGATACGTTGTTTTTTTCCTGATGGTGAGCTACAACGTTCTTATGTTTCCTTGTTTCCTGTCGTGTTTTCCTTGATTCTTATGGTTAAATTCTTCAGTGTTGGATTTAGTTATCCCACCTAAACTCGGTTTTTGTTAGGTTTCGGGGCTTTTTTATTTATTGAGTAGCAGGGCTGTATTTTACATTAGTTTTAATTTATGCTACTTTCCAGCACAACATTACGAGCAAGAAGATGCCTATCGGCAAACGTGGAGACGTGCACGAGCTGAAGCTTTAGAAGAAGCATATCCTAGGCACTCTCGACCAGCTTCATGTGACAGCGACCATTCGGAGATGATGACAAGTACCACTCCGCAAAGCAATCATGGTACTTCAGTAATGAATGGATTTTCCTCGTTTGTTTAACAATACTCAGGTTTGTATCTAATACATATACACCTGTGGCCTTTGTTTGATTGTGATATCACTTTCCTGTAATGTAATTTCGTCTTTCCAAGAGCTCTTGCCTGAAATCTTACACTTTCACTTCATCTTCACACATTACCATGTTCCCCTTTTTTTTCATTCCTTGTATCAAGGTTTCTCATTGCTTCTCCTTCATTGGAGCAACCCCTTATGTCTCAGGAAATTGAGTATTTTATAACTTAAGCATTCTTTTCCTTATTTAAAATGAAAAATTTTAGGCTTTGAGGTTTGTTTCATTTAGCTTAAAATTAGGCTACAATTGATGATAAGGTCTAACTTGGATTCGATGTTCTTAGACTTTTTCGCTGTTCGAAACACACTTTTTAGTGTGAATCGGTTTTATGTGTATTTTGGTTATAAGGTTATTTTCTAGAACCAACATTTCCAATTTCTTGAAATCACAGCGGCTATTTCTTTTCAGCAGTATTTGATGGTTAGCCTTTGCAAGAGAAGTTCATGTTTGTTACTTTTTCTGTTTATCCTCTGTTAATTTGTTGGTTTTCCCTCCAAATTTTATAAATCATTTCCCAGCTTGCTACAATTTAAACCTCTTATTCTGTGATTGTTGCCAGTTTTGTTTATATCTTTATTTCTTAAGTCGTAATAACGTTTAAGTGCCTCTTTTTTTACGTTGTTTCTTCCTTCGCTTCTTTGGAGGGTTCCCAGTTGCTCAATCACAAGTTTCGCTTTGTTGGTTTTTGTATTATACACAGGTTTTGCTGTTTAGGGCGTTTTTGCTTTTGCCTTAATTTTGTTACTTCTTGGTACTTGACTTCCTTACACAATATTTTGATCTCTGCTCAGTTTGTTAATACTGGGCCTTTAATTTATTGCTCTTGATATGTCGTAGTTTGATGTTTTTTGACAAGATAAGATTCGAGTTTGTGAATTTGTTGATATTTGTAGTTAAGAGGCAACTTACTTTACGCCACGTCTACTTCATTCTTCTTCATCAAGCTGTATTATTAATTTGCTTAGAGCTAACTCTATAGGTTCAAGAAGGGTTGAATAAACCAATATATGAAATGTTTGTTCTGAAACTGTTTTCGCGTTTCAGTGGTGTCGACGTAATATTATCGATGTTGTTTATCATCTGATCGTTCTCCATTAACTATAAATGAGCCTTTGATATGTGCATTTGCTTCCGATTACTGTCGAGTTCGGTTCATTTGAAGTGGATGGTGACTCGTGTGAAAATTTGTTCTTTTTTCGGGATATGGAGTGTCATGAGTCTCGCCTGTTTGCTCCGTACAAAGTGCTGGGAGGAGTTTGCACTGATGTGCCTCCAGCTTTCCGTACATTACCTACGAAGCGCAGGATAACTTCAGTGCTGGTTGCGCTTGGGAATGTTGTTGTAGGGTACACAGCTGAAAGGCTGCGCCTAGTCTCTTTAAGTGATGTTCTTCCATCGAATATACAGTGTGTTGCTGCGGATAAACGCTATGTTTATGCAGCTGTTCATGGAAAAATAGCGATTCTCCACTTGTCAAGGTAGGAAGGCTCAGACAGCTTGGTGTTATCCGCAACATTTCATTAGTAGTTCTTAAACCTGTAGATGGCACAACAAGTTAATCCTGCAGGCAAGTCAAGGGATGGGTAGGTGTTGGAAGTGATGTCAAGATGATGGTGCCATTTGGTGAATCTCTGATCGTAGTTAATGCTCAAAATTCCATAATCGTTTTTGGGGTAGAAAGAGAAGAACGTATACTTCAGTTGGATTTTGCGGACGAGTTCCAAATTTCTGCTATCAGCCATCCTGCAACATATTTGAATAAGGTTTTGATAGGGTCGTCGAGAGGTTTGTAAATTTGTCTTTCAATGAATTTGTTTCCTTGTTTTCCAATCAGTTTATATGAAAACACTGCGACACATTTAAATTATGGTTGTAACGTGTAAAACGTCGTAGGGGCATTACGCTTGGTTAACGTAAAAACTGGTAAAATAGTGCATCATTTCGAGAAGAACTTTGAAGCTTCTGTTACTGTCCTTGAACAGAGTCCAGCACTGGATGTGATAGGTGTTGGTCTTTCTTCTGGAGGAATTATTCTGCATAACATAAAATATGATCGCACAATTGCTAGGTATAATCAGGATTCTACTGTTACTGCTATATCCTTCAGGTACTTTATTATCTTTTGACACATCCAGTGACTTTTATTCTTAAAATACTGGTTCACATTATTAAATTACTAAATTTTTTTAGTTTAGGATATAACTGTTAGCAACTTCCACTCATTTCCATTGTTTATATTACATTTCTAGGACTGATGGAGTGGAGTCAATGGTTTCTGCATCTGCAGAAGGTGCAATAACAGTGTGGGATTTAGATAAAAAACGATTAGTTGGGCGATTACCCAATGCCCATAATGGTTGTGTAACTGGGTTACACTTCTTCGTGAATGAACCCCTAATGGTATCGTGTGGAACTGATAATGTAATGCAAACATGGATATTTGATATGGGTGATGGGATGCCGCGTCAATTGGTGTTGCTGGAGGGTCACTCAAAGCCGCTAACTAGTGTTAAATTCTGCGGAAACGATCGGTATGTCCCCTACTCGTGTCAGTTTGGATTATTTTAATAATCTCTTTCAAGAAATTGTTCGATTTATCTAGTTACTCCTTTAGATATTAACACCAGTAGTATTTATTTAGCGTTATCTCAGCTGCACAGGATGGAACTGTACGGTGCTTCTCTGTTAAGCGGGATACACAGAGGCAAAAGCTTGGAAATGCCGGTGTTATGACTAGGTAAGTAATTACTACTCTTAGCTGTTGTTGGTTAGGCGGATTGAAAAATTTTAAAACACTTTTTCCTGGGTTATTTCAATAGTTTCTAATAAATTGCTCAAAAATTCTGAACATTTTTTAGCAGTTGGTTTATTTTCACCTACTTTCGCTTACATTTGCAAATAGTATTGAAGGATTTCCGTCTCTTAGAAAGATTTCGATTACTCAGAAGATTTGATTCCTTACGCCGAGTTTTTATTAATTGCGCTACTTTCATTTTCAACTTAATTTGTTTGTTAATTTGTTTCTTTTTCTTGACACTTGACGTTTTTGAAAATTATTTTAATATCCTTTTCCGGTCATAAGGTTTCTTATTTATCACACCTTGATACAAGCGGAAGAAAACAGCTTTTGCGCTGTATTTTCAATGTAACTATATGTTTTTCTGTTTAGAGTAAAGGCAAAAAAACTTGGAAGAGATTTGGAAAGCATTTCTTTGAATCCGGTTGAAGATTTTTCATTAAGCTTCAACAGAGAGGCTGCTTGGGACAATATCATATGTAGACACGAAAAAACTGCTGTGGTGACCACGTGGACATCACGAAAGCAAAGTTTGGGGGAACATAGAGTGGGTTTTCATAATATGAGTGTATTACAAAAACCCTTTCTTTTGTTTTGCTTGTACCCTTAGCATTTTTAACAGCTCTTCTGAGGGGAAAAAAATTTGCGTCGTTTGTTTTTAGTTAATCCACAAACGATTCCTTACTGACCCTTTGCTGTTTGAAGCCACGGCGACTTCATCATTTTTAACTTCTTGTGGCAATTATGCAGTAATTGGGTACTCGTCAGGACATATTGATTGTTTCAACGTCCAAAGTGGAAAACACCGGAAAACGTTCGTTGCGTTTTCAAAAAACGTAGCGCACTCATCACCAGTTTGTGGCGTTGCAGTTGACAGTCTGAACAAAATAATGGTACTTTTTTATACTTCGACTGTTGCCTAATTGGAAACGGGCTAACTGTTTAAGTAAACGACTATGCTATTCAGGTGTCTGGTGAACAAAATGGAATAATTCGTTTCTGGGGATTTAGGTCATGTAAGTTAGTCAGTGAGTTAAAAGTTCCATGTTGTATTGTTCGATTCTGTATGAGTCCCACGAACTCACTGCTCGCTGTGGCAGTGAAAGATGGTTCTGTAGGGGTTATTGACGTGCTTTGCCGTCGTTTAGTTCGAATTATTAAGAATGCGCATAATGCAGCAATCAGCTTCACAGAGTTTTCACCGGATTCAAAATGGTTGATCACAACAGATGTAGTTGGCATGATCAAGGTACTTGATAAATTTTTCATTCCAACTTCTTTCAATAAACAAAACGAATGAGTTGCATAAATTTACAGTTTTGAAAATATGATTTCTTCTACTTGCATTTCGTGGTTTAGTGTGTGTATCTTATTTTCTATTCATAAAATGTTCTAAATTCAGACTTGGGATCTTATAACCAATAATCTGATTGATGTTATGAAATGTGAGAGTCCATGCAATTATGCCAGCTTTTCTGCTTCTGGTGCCTATTTAGCTACATCGCATGAAGGACAACGAGTAGTTTATTTATGGGCAAATAAGACGCTTTTTGAAACCAACGTTGATACGTCTGCACTTCCTCTCAATTATGAACCTTCAACTTCTACCGGAGGAGTTGTAATTAAGTAAGCTTTTATTGTCCTGTCTCACCTCCATATTTAATGAATTAGGCGTACTGATTTTCCCGAGTCTGTGTAATTCCTTCCGTATTTTTTTTTTAAAATTTTTGAAATCCAAAGTCATTTCAAGCCGCTGAGGGGCATTTCGCAACCATACCACTTGCTGTTTCAAAATTAGAAGTTTTGGAACTGAAGGTTAACTTCGTTTCCCTTTACACAGAAAAGGGAGTCAAATAACTAGCTGGACTCTGTAGACCCAGTAATGTGAAGTCACAGACTGTCTAAAACTTATGGCTGCATCATATGAAGTATGTTCATTTAGTCCCGACAAAGAGCCTGACGAAGCAGTCATGGAATTTGATAATTTGGCTGAAAAAATACGGTCTCCAGACCCTTCTGTGAGTTTTCGTTTTCCACAACAAACCTTTTTTTTGTGTTTTCTTAGGCACAAAATTTTTGATTTCAGTAAAACATAGACCTACGTCTGACTCAAACTTCCATGAACGGCAAAGTCGAATAACTTCTTGTAGGTACTTGCCCTTTAATTTTTTAGAAGGATGAGTTGGTGCTGTTTTCCGGTTTTGCGACTCCGCGCTGGGCAAACTTGCCGTACTTGGACGTCATACGTGAGAGAAATAAGCCAGTAGAACCTCCGCAAAGACCAAAATCTGCTCCCTTTTTCTTAGCATCAGTGCCAACTGTAGATGGGTTCGCTTTTCAGCCACCGGAACAAGAGGAGACTACTGAGGACCGGAAAGTTCTGATAGCCAGAAGAAACATGCTTGAAATTGAAACTTCATTCACGAAATCTCTACTACAGTAAGCGTAGTTACTGAAGTTTCTCAAACTTACTAATAGTTGCTCACGTATATCATACTAGTGCTGAATCTTTGCCTTTTACTACTTATGTTTTTCACCTTACCAAAGACAAACTTTTTCCAGGGCAGTGTCAGACGCTGAATATGTAACTGTCTTTCAATCACTAAAAGCGATGAACTTATCATCAGTTGAATTTCACATACGATCCCTACCAACCAAAGTTAGTTCGCCTTGCCTCAATAACATCGCCATGCAACTACTTTCAAATAGGAATCTTTTAAAGTGTGTAATAATGCAATCCTATTCAGGCCCTCTATAGCTTCCTGAAGATGTTACTGATCATGACAAAAAGCAAACGTGACTTCGAACTAGTTCAGGCCTACTTATCAACATGTTTGATTGCGCATGGGAAGTCTTTATGGACAAAAATCCCACGCGAAGAGGCCTCTGCCTTAGATGAATTGTTAGCTGCCCTTCATAATGAAGTAAAATCTGCCTGGGACTCCGTAGACACACT